AAATTAGATTTCTGGCTTGCTTCGGTTCCAATTCATACCAACGATAATCACATGCAGCTTGATAGACACCTTCGCACTATATAATACGATATAATCTTATTAAAGATTGAAAATGTATTTTGTACAAATTTATAAAAATTAATTATATAACCATAATTCAACGTTATTATTTTGTTTCATATTTCAATTCTATAAATACAATAACTCAAATTCAATTCATGAAAACAAGAATGTACATCTATTCTTACAATAACGTTTTTGATTAAAATATTTATCACATACATTTTTGCAGCGAAAAACTATTTGTATAAATTTGCTAAGATAATAGTAATTAACTTACTTGCGCTATTAGACATTCTCCAACCACACAATACAAGCACATATGTGCAAAAATATTTGCAACGACTGTTACAAGAAATGACAGTCTTACGAAAGATAAATGACGTCCATCAGTGACAACCTATATTATTAATTAATATAAGGAATATACTAAAAGAATATTAATTGTCATATGTTAATAATGTAATAATTACAGTTTTATGCGTTCTTATTTATTTTATTATTGCATTTTATTATTTGTTTGTGTATATCCTTTGGATATTAGGAGATATTCTATGTATATACAATATATATATATATATATATATATATTATATATATATTATATAAAACATGTATATATATAAAAATTGTTGACTTACGGTAACTAATAGAAATCCATATAGACTAAATAATGTGCCGAAATAGAGGAATAATCCAAGAAGCATCAAAGTAAATGTATTTTCAATGATTTTAACACATCTGTAATAAATAAAATTTTTATTAACAATTGTACAAAATGATAAATTATGTTATAATAATTATATCTTATTAATCATGATTTAAAAATATTAAATTTTACAATTTTATGAGTTTATGTTTCAAAAGCGTTATTTTTTTATTAAAAAAAATATATATATGTATTAATTATAGCTTTATTTGATCTGCCTTTACATGAAATAATTAGCGCTATTATATAAAATAATGAGTGTTCATCATGACAGTATCATGTACGAAACCTGATAAGGCGTACATGATCCATTATGGCGTCTGCTAAAATATGATCAAAATTTGATTGTTTTTCAGAACCTATCATTAAACGGCCCTTAAGATTCTTCAATTGACCGCAGACATGAAAAATCAGCAATCCAAAAAGACTGTCAATCGCCGTATAACCCATGGCAGACACCATGAGAGTAACACCTTGTGCGACGAATGTAAGTTCGAAGTATGGACTTGTATCTGTGTCATAGAAGTAATATGTCTGCAGGGGCAATGGTTTGCCCGGATCGGTCACGTTTGTTATGTATCGCATGGTAATCCCGAAGCACGGAAGAATAAATAATAAAATAAACGACGCAAACATTATGATAAATCCGCAGGTTATGATCATGCGAGGAATCCGTGCGCATCTTATCATGATCTTCCGTTCTTCGTCAGACTTCAATTTTAGCCAATCTTTAGCAATCATGTACAAGAGTGGCGCAAGAGCTTAAAAGATAGATTACAAAGAAATAAATATAACAATTAATTATAATAACATAAATTATAATAAATAAATAACATATAATAATAACATAAGAACTTTACAGTAATATAATACAAAATTTAATAATTATTATAAAATAGACACAAATAAGACAAATATACATATATTGCTCAATTTTTTCATAATTTATAATTATTAAAGACTTAATGTTATTATTATACAACGATATGTTTTAATATTGTTTTTAGGGATCCAGCCTCTTTTCTGTGTCAAAATGCTACAAGGGAGATTTACTTACCAGCTTTTTTGCTCCACATGACGATGAGCTTCATTATCATCGACACTAAAGGTAAAGTGAATTGTAAATTGTCTGTCATCGACATCAAATCACCCCAAACTCTTATCAAAGAATGTATGCAGGGAATCACACCAAAAAAAGTTACCATAATTATTAACAGTAACACTCGTACGTTAGACATTAATTTTTCTTGCGTTGTTTCTTTCATTTTTGGCCAAAGTCCGATAAATTCCAAGCTATAGCGATTTAATTCTATCGCCCATTCAAAATCTAGCTCAAAATGTAAATTCGTTAATTCTACCGAACTTATTTCAGGCAAATAAAATGTTTCTTTTAATATCTCAAATTTGTTCGTTGTTTTGGCTTTCTTCGGCTTGAAAAAATTGTATATCCGATCATACTTTTTACATTTTTCTTATATCATAAATTACATACAATAATGATACTACTATCTACATATTTCATGGAAAATGATAAATTTGTATAAATATATATTATATATATATTAATATGAAACAAAATAATGTTTTTTTGTCGCTTAAAGCAAACAAAATACTCCTAAGAGCATTAAATAAACATTTTTTAATGGAAGTTAAAAACAATAACCTGTATATCCCGAATGTCTAATACCATCCATATCTAAGGTCAATCATGTACTATTTTCCTTCGTTAAAAAAAATATTTTTATCCCCACTAGCGAGTATCATCGCGCATATTCGTGACATGACGTATTCACATACTAAACATAGGGTCTATAGAATAATCGATGCATAATAAATATTGCATATTACGATAAGTGCAGTGACTATTTCATATGATTAATGTGTCCCTCGGTGTTCGGTAAAAGAAAATTGATCTAGAAGGCATTGACATCGAAGTTTTTGCATGCTTGATAAAATGAAGACAATTGAGAAAAAAAATAATATCGCGTTCATGGGTTGATGCATTATTGATGCATACTTATAGAAATTTTTGTTCATCGTGACATGACAATTTTTAGGAATTAGTTGTTATATGGATAGTGCACGTGAAATCTCTCTCTCTCTTTCTCTCTCTCTCTCTCTCTCTCTCTCTCTCTCT